GGTCTGCCGGCGTTCTACTTCAGCCTGTTCTGCAGCCGAGGGCCCTGGCTTCACATTGCCTGATCTCATCATCATACGGGAGGTGCATATCCTCCCAAAGCCCAGGGGAAAGAAGATTCTGAAAAGGGGTCTCAGCAACACTGAAAGGGTCACCAGACCTTGCATGGGGTAGTCGTTCATGATGAGTGTCTGCATAGGGATGGCCTCCGCTGGCTCACCAAGATGATACCCTCAGCTCCTAATCTGCCTTCTGTGTGGATGGGATCTGTAATTTTTTTTTTTTTTTTTTTTTTTTTTTTTTTTTTTTTTTTTTTTTTTTTTTTTTTTTTTTTTTTTTTTTAATCTGGCTGTCGCTGCTTTAGAATAACGAATAATAATGCAAATAACAATTATTTCTTTCCCAATCAAAAACAAATTTTTTTCTTTCTTTTCTTTCTTTAATTTGTTTGATTGTTGTCTATTTATCACTTCAATATTACTTTTCTTTTACTAACGTTTGTCTGGCTGGGTCCTTTGCAGATGCTATCTGTTATGAATGGCAGCCTTTAGGTGCAGGGATAAGTCAAAGTTTTCACAATGTCAGATATGGTGGAACTATACTTCCGTACAGGCTGGAGTCGTCTAGTTCGGCTTTGCTTCTGACCACTTGCAATCTGACGTGGCACTCTGCCTCAACTCCCTGTGCGACCTTATCTTTACTACCAGATGCCAAAGTGATGGAACCAGGTATTGACTTTCTGTCCTGACCCAGACTCTACAGCCCTGACATTCAGACCAGACCAAACCACGGATTCGTCCAGACAACAGCAACAACCATCAGAAAGGAGGGGGAAGAGATACACAACACACAGGTTTGCAATCAATCGAGGTAAGTAGGCAAGAGGTTCTTCTCTTCTTTGTAGCCGTCGACGAAGTCTCCACGTTCGCTCCAGTCGCTCCAATCGCAGGTAAGACGTCTCCTCCTTAGCCCCTTCTTCCTCGGTCAACTTCCCCCTCTGTCCCAATCCAACACCTTAACACCTCACCTCTCGTCAGCTTTACTCAAGCCAACTTATCCTTCTCGCCGGCCTTGATCATGCCAGCGCGTCCATTGAGAGTAACAAGTACTGCTCTGATACCAAATTTGCAAGGAAACTGACTGTTCATCACTTGCTAGAGTGCATCAAATCACATCCATATACACCGATTTCACAGATTGCAGAGTCTCACACAAAACCCAATAGAAGATGAATGAGAACCAGGAAGCTCAACTCAATTATCAAACCCAGATTTAGAGAGAGAACATCATGAGTTCAAAGTGTATAGCGCTGAACAGAGTTACAAATCTCCTTCGATCAACATCAGTTCAAGGCCTGGCGCTCATCAGCGTCAGCTACCAAATGTCAACAACAACATTCAACCGGTAAGTGTCACCATAGCTCACACTTCCCCCTCTCTCGTCTGCCTTTTTCTCTCTCTCCCTCTATGTCTATAATCCTGGTCTACCCTCATCCATCATGCATGCACACTCCCTATCACACGAGGATCTACTCTGAATACTACTCACTGGTATCTCCTACTGACTATCCCTACTAACATACTAACTAGCGCTGGTGCAGCTATGGTTGCCTTCCCTCTAGCCAGCACTCTCTTCCTCCTTCCCTCATAGCTCAACTCACACACATCTGGCGCACAAGTGTGTGGCGCGCAACCTCACGCCCTGCGCTGTCTTTCGTTCGGAGTGTTTAAATTGAGGAAGGGGGCCCCGAAAGGACAGCGAGATGGGGTGTGCCAAGGATTTTTGGAAAATTGAGTGTGGGGACACGGACAAAACCGAAATCCCCCGTGGCGGCCCGACTTAGTAAGAAGGGAGGGTCCGTCACTACGCGGGTGTCAAGGGAGAAAGAAGCGCGTGTGGGACATTTGGCGCGGGGAAATTCAATCCAAAAAGTATCGTTGAACTTCCCAGTGGGCCGTTGCTCTTCGCTTCGCGTGAAAGGGAGCGGGTACACATTTGGTGTCTCGTTTTCGGATGAAGTCTCGTCGCTGCTCATTGCACAGCTCAGAATCTGATGTGGAGGGTCTCAGCCGCGTGGCTCGTTCCTTATGTTCGTCTTCACTCCGTACGCGGTAGTGGAAACCCTTTGATTGGTAACGCTCGAGGCAACAACAATCTCTGCACAGAGTATTGGGCCAATAGGGTGCCACTGCCGTCCATGGAATGACGATCCACTCGTTAAATGGTAACAGCAGCGAATAAGGCGGAAAATGCGTATCAATAATGACAAAGCCCACACCGACAAATCCTTAGCACCGAGTTTCAGGAGGGAAATAATATCGGTCGCCAATCTTGGCGACGACTTCTCGTACGTCCCACTCGCATACACGTGTCCTTTTCTCGTTGTACGGGAAGGGACGTGGTGGGAGTACGAGAGGCCGGTGCCCAGTCGGATTGGGGCCTTCAGTCCACATGGCAATCCAATCAATCGCAAGAGTCGGTTTCAACCATTCATCGTTAATGCTTCGTCTTTCGATCGGGCTTTTCCGATTATCACCTTTATTTATCTTAAACATACGAAGCAAAGTGAGAGCATTAACAATAATCTAACAGTCTCACCAAGAAGTTTCATACAAAACAAACCCGTGGGGACAGTACTCACATCAGCAGGTCACACGTGGCGCCCTCCTTCTCTACTGAGAAGAGATATTGCCTTTCGGGTTTTACGTAATGAGTGCAAGCCGCAGAGGGTATCCGGAGTGTATTCCGGATTGGAGATTCCGCGACCACAACATCGTCAGATCTAAACATTCTTGCATTCTCGAACAAAATCCCAACAACATTGCTCTTGCCAATAACTTAATTGTTCTCACGCATTCCATTCACCACAATTCTTCAGCCTAATCAAAGATCAATCCCTCAATGACAATCTACATCCGTAGTCACTCATCGCGGAAGGTGCGAAAATGACAACCATACATCATTCAGTGTTCTGTGTGCTCTGTATCCCTGCCTCGTCATCCTGAGGCTAATCCAAGCGCCGACCCATCAGGCAACCATTCCATGACAAACATACACGGTCATTCGCATTGTGAGATAAGTGGGGAGAAGAAGGGCGAAATGAATTCAACAGAGGACAATCATACAAACATCTGGAGATGAAAAGAATTCCCGGCTTAACTGCCGTGAAGTTACACTCACACCAGAGAATAGAATCGAGACAAGGAGGCGCATCCGTCGGAAAGATCCGTCATGGCCCCCGACCATTCATCCATCCAACTCTAGTCACTATCCTCATACATGTACCGACGATCCCGGCCGTCGCGTGCCACCTGCCACCATTGCGATCGTCACCCCGCCGACTTAGTTTCTGCGCGGGCTTGCCCCTATCCCACAGTCCGTCGCGGCGATCAGGCGCACAGCCAGCCAGTCTACAGTCAGCCCGTCGGGACTTTTCGACTCGCACCACACACACACCATCTAGCCACTGACGGCGGCCGACGAGTTGAGAGAGAGCTTTGCGGATGCGTCGGCGAAATTTATAGTTCCGAGAAGGGAGATAGATGCGAGAATAGATGAAGAGTAGGATAGTGGAGGGTGAGGGAGGGCTTGAGGGTAATCGCCCGTCGAAAGCCATGTTGATCCCGCGCAGTCCGATCTCAGCCAATCAGAATTGTCGCGTAGTAGGGATCTCCTCTTACACGGCGCTTCTCCTTGGCTAGATGGGAAGAGAAGATCGACCGGGTTTTCGAGCCCAGGTTTTTAGAGCGGGAAGAAGAAGAGTGCGAAGGATAGCGCGAAACGGATCCAAGGTTCAGATGATCAAGAAAGAGAAAAAGGGCGCGCGCGGGGAAGGAGAAAGAAAAACAGTTACAAGGGGAGGGAGCGAGAAAACATATACGTGTGAAGAAGGGTGCGAGGAGGGAGGAGGAGGGAGCTCGTACGCAAGGTGCCAAACAACAGAAGAAAATGAGCACCGAAACAATTGCAGCTTTTCCCCCAGCCCTACGCTAATTCAAAAATTGAAATCACCATATCCGCGCGCAAAGTAGGCGCGGGAAAGAAAGAAAGTCCTACGTCTATCCACATTCCTACAAAATTCTCAGAGTTTTCCATGTCGAGGCCGAGAACATTCACGTGTGAAAGGACACGTCGGGTTCCGTAAATTCTGGAATTCCTAACTGTCGAGCCAAATTCCGAGCGTGCTTACTAAGATGCGCGTAATTCCCATGCATTTCCAATTTACAAAAATGACGAAATTTCAAGAACCGCTAGTGCTGACAAAAATACAGATTTCAGCGAGGTATCTTTAATTGAAAAAATGACAAAAAAGGTTTTCGGGGGCCGAGCAAGAGACATTTTGATGCAAAGGAAACACGGGGAGGAAAGGGGTCCGAAAGATAGCGCAGGTCCGGAAGCTGGTACGTCACATATGTGACGCACAGGGGGTTCCAAAATTATGCGATCCCTGATTGCATGCCATGGCGGAGGAGGAGGGAGGGGGAAGAGAGGATGAATGAGGAACCAAGTGTATCAGGAGAGGGAGTATTCGCATCAGCACGGATAGTTGAGCCAGAGTTCATGTTGACGCCAACGCCAATTGCAATATCTTCCCGAGTCTGCTGGCTCGAGCTGTTGGAATCCCCTTGCCTTCTTGATCGCCGGAGATTGTCCAGGTGACGCCATCATCGCTCGCTGGTTCTCCGTGTGCTCTGCACCCCTGCCCCGTTACTGGAAGTCCGCCCGCCGGTAGTCGACAAGGAGAGGGTGATGGAGAGGTCGGGGCCACTCAGATGGAAGCGGAGGGAAGTAATCCGCCGCTTCGTTACCAAGATCGACGAAGTGTACGATTCGGTGTGAGTGGGGGAATCGATGATTGGGTCGAGACAGAGATAGTAGGTAATCGGGATATAAGGAGGGGATGGTGCGGAGGACATTATCCCTTAGGGACTCATAGTCCTCCACGACAGGAAAAGTGTCGGAGATGATACAGTACAACTCCATATGATTGAACTGTACCCAGGCAACACTGAAGAGGAGAATGTTGAGAGGAAAGGAGGGGAACGATGGGGGAAGACCGTACAAAGAAGTCGCGCCACGACGTGATGACAAAATCCGTGGCTGGCGAAGATACGATAGTCCAGAGGGAATTCAAGGTGGGGGAGGGGACGGAAGAAGAGATAATCCAGGGGGCGGCGGAAGACGGGACGAGGACGGTACGTTCGGGCCGGGTGGAGGACGGGGACGAAGCGTGGAGGGGGCGGAAACGGAGGGAGATGGTGAGCGAGAGCGGCGGCGCCGGCGGGAGGTTGTTGGGCCATCATGTCGAATGGCGGCGTCTGAGGGAATGGCGGGATTCAACGCGGATCCTCCCCGAAAGATAGGTGATGCTTGTGCTGGAGGAGCCTCCTGGGGCTCAGGTGCTGATGCTTCTTCTTCCTTCGACGTCGATCGGGCCTTCGACTCCTCCTCTTTGATAGCCCGGCGAGGGCTATGCGACCCGGGTCGTCGTCCGACGGTACCTCGCCGCTCTCCTGATGAGCCTTTCAGAACTCGTCGAAATCGGAGTTATCTGGCGCAAGGTCGTCTAGGTCCAACTAGCACCAAGCCGTAGGATTGTGGTCACTTAGGTACTGCCCGTAATCTTCCGTGCAGTTCGCCCAGATTATGGTTGGCGTCAACTTTCTCTCCAAGGTCACTGGTTCCCCCTGGCTTGGATCACTCAGATTGAAGGAGATGATATCCTTCGGCAGATCATCGACGAGCTGGGACAAGAACGTGAGAAGCTCGTATGCCAACGTACCGTCGGTGTCCGTCTCTTTCGGCCACAGTTGTGCCAACACCAGCGAGATCTCGTGACTGTGCTCCAACTCCCGATTGCTGTAGTACCGCGACCAATGACATTTCACTGTGAGCATGCACACACTGACCGTCGCGAATTCAGCCCACTTGCGGATGTAGGCTGGACTAAATGGAGGGATCGAGGCGGGACGGATTTCCAGAGTGAGAAGAGGATCAGCCCAAGATGGCCCGATGATCGGAAGGTCGAAGGGGAGAGAGAAGGTGGAGAAGCGATTCATCTGCGTTCGGGGTAGGGATGAAGATGAGGAAGCGGGCGAGCGGGGCGATCAATGGCGCTAGTCCAGAGAGAGAAGGTGTCAATACAGTCAGTCCCCACTACTTGTCGCCTTGGCTGGGCCAATCGATGTCGCCAATCAGCCGCCAACTCCTGCCCCCACTCGTAAAGACTGGTCACCACTGCATCGCGCCGCTGTGCGCCGATGGTACACAGATCGCCACTGAAAGCCACGATCACCGTTATGTCACTCTGAGTAGGCCGCGAGAAGCGATGAAACCCTGATGCTTCTGCCAAGATGGTTGTTGAGCCTCGATCGGTCGATATAGTTATTTCAACGGCGGTGCACCAAGCCCCGTGACTGAAAAGCTGTGCGAACCGAAGAAGATCAGGACTGAGACGGGGGTGCGTGACTTGGCGGAATTGCAACAAGGTTCGAGGTTGAAGAAGCTGGGGTGGAAGAGCCGGCTCAATGACAAAACTCATGGCGAAGGTGAAGGGGAGGTAGAATCAGACGAAGGAAAGGAAACAAGTTCCTCATCTGCGCTGGAGGAGGAAGAAGGAGAGGGGTTGGGGTTCTTAGAAGGAGGGAGGGGGCAAAGGTAGGAGGTGTGGTGGACAATGGGAAAAGAATTATGGCTGGTGCTGGCCTCAGGCGCAATGCGCACCGTGTTGGCTTCGTTAAGACCGAGTTCTACGATGCGAAAGCATCCAGAGAATTTGGGAGCGAGTTTACGGTTGCGTGCACATTTGCGTACCTGCACTAGATCCCCTAGCTTATATTGGTGTTGCCGCTGTTGCGGGCCTGCATTCCCATTCCGGGCCTCGCAGCTACGGACCTGTCTACCGTGGGCTAGTTCGATCATTTTTTGTTTTTTGCGGGCTAGTTTAGGAATGGCCCTTTCCATTAAATCCGCATACCGCTTCGCTTTGGCCTAAAGGGTGTCCCTGCCCCCTTTGTCAACAATTTCTAAGGTACCCCGATTATCGACACATGGAAGGCTATTGGTTCAAAGTTGGAAGGGGGTGAACCCCGTGGACTCATGAGGGGTAGCTCGATGGATCCCGACGATCTGATAGATGATCTCGAGCCAAGGACGCGTGTCGCGAGCCGCCAAGTTCTTACGGAGGGCGGTCTTAATCATGCGACTCGCATTTTCGACCAACCCGTTCGACTCAGAAACATGGGGAGCGGTGTGTCGGAGGGTAACGCCACAACGCATTAGTAATTCCTCTACCTCAGCCTTGAATTCAGATACATTATCGGTTAGAATTTCCTCTGTATCTAGATGGGTATTGAGGAATCGATCGATGTATGTGGCTATCTGAGCCTATCTCTGAGGCCTTTCATGTCTTATATGGGTAGACTTCGATATATTTCGAGAAATGGTCGATTAACACCAAGAGGATGGAATATTCGCAGCGGTTGGGGCCAGGTAGCACGTCAATATCTGTCGTATCCATACTGACCCGCTGAAAAGGTCGCTCTACCTCTGTCGGGACTATCGTATTTGGTCCACGAATGGGTGCACGGTCGGCCGCACAAACTAGACAGTTAGCAACCACGTGCTTCACATCATCCCGGATATTAGACCAGAACCATCGATTTTGATCGATAGTTGCCTCGGTGACACGTATTGCGAAATGAGCGGCCTGTTCCTCGTGCGCCGATCTAGTCCAGTCATATCTCTGGAAGGGATGGGGAACCGTCAACCATAATCCCGATCCGTCTGTTTTACGCTTCTCTAGATGTCCGTTGATCCATCAATAATCTCGGGACCTTTCGGTAACCCGACGCCTGTCGTGCTTGGTGAGATGGCCCAACGGTTGGCCAACTAATTTAGCTAATAATATTTTATCCGTCCATACCTCCGCCCTTCGATACTTCTTGTCGTATTCAGGGTCGTCCGTTCGGGCGGCCTTGAATCGAACCTCCGTAGGAAGTTTGTCCGTCCTACACAGGGGGCATCTTCATTCCTTACTACTCGTTCTGTATCGAACAATTGACACATGTGGCGCATTCTACCCAGTCGGTAAATCCAGACTCAAAGGGATAGCAGTCTACCCCATAAAGTCGGGAAATACACGTGCAAAAATAATAAAATTTGTCCGGGAGATTGGCGAGAAAGTCCGAATGAGTGAGGGGAGCGGAAAAGGTGGGAGAGACTGAGACAGGGGGGGGTTCTATTGTTTCGAAAGGGGAAGGGGAAGAGAAGCAGGGTTGGGTGCACGTGTCCACTTATCCCTTCGGCAGGATCTCCACTTGTCCGTAGTGAGGCTCGTTCTTTGGCTCCGGATCGCGCCAGGGGATCACTTCCTCACTCTTGAGTACCTTGTCGGGGCGGTGGAGTCGTGTCAGCCCGTCCGCGTTGCCGTGTTTCTCGTGTTTCCAATGACGAATGTCAAAGTCCATACTCTGCAACATGGTGGCCAATCGCCCGAGCATGCCCGAGTAATCCTTGGACTTCTTCAGTGCCAACAGCAGTTCGTGATCGATTACCAACGTAAACTTCCGACCATATAAGTACACTCGAAAGTGACTGATTCCCCACAAGGCCGCGTAGCATTCCCCCGTCGGGGCAGAGTAGTTGCGCTTACAGGACGACACTGACTTGAACACGTATTTCACCACGTGTTCGAGGCCGTTTGGTCCCACCTGGGTCAAGATCACCGATACCGCCTGGGGCTGTCAATCGGTGATGAGAACAAAGGGTTTTTCCGGGTCCGATCTTATGAGGACAGGAGCCAAAATCAAGGTCACGTTGAGTTCTTGGAAAGCCCGATTGCATTGCGGAGTCCAGATCAACGGCTGATCCTTTTTCAGCAAATCCGTGAGTGGTCTCGCGATCGCCGCAAACCCCTTGATGAACCTTCGATAGTACGATGTCAATCCCAAAAAGGCACGCACTTGTGATACGGACGTCGGTATTTCACGGTTGTCACTTTCTGAGGTTCCGACTGCAATCCTTGGTCCGTAACCACGTGGCCGAGGAAGGAGATCTCGGTAAGGAAAAACTGACACTTCTCAATAACCACTTTGAATCCTGCGTCCTTCAGTGCGTGCAAGGTCCATTCGATGTGCTGCACGTGCCCCTCATAGGAACTTGAAAACACAAGGATATCATTCATATACACAATCACACAATAATTGATTATGCTCTGTGTCAGCCACATTTTTCGCACGAAGTTCTGGAAGGCCATGTTCATCTCGCGTTGAAATGTGGCTGGGGCGTTGCAAATCCCCATCGGGCATCGAACCCATTGCCTGGTCCCTTCGAAAAGAATGAACGCCGTTTTCAGGCAGTCTTCTTTTCTGACAAGGAGGTGGTGGAATCCTTGGCGAACATCAAATTTACTGAAAAATCAAGCACTATCGATAGCATCCAGCAACTCATCGATCCGGGGGAGGGGAAACACATCCTTAATCGTGATATTATTTAATTTTCGATAATCGATGCATATGCGAATTCCTCCTGCCTTTTTGGGTAGAAATTACACAATTACTACCGGAAACGACCATGATCCAATGACGGGCTCAATCCAACCATTAGCTTCGAACTCCTTAATCCTCTGAAACGCGATCGCTTTTTGCGCCGACGAATACCAATAGGGAGTGCAGCTAATCGGTGGATGATCCCCGGTGAGGATCGCGTTGTCGAGCGCATCGGTCCGGCACCGCACGTGGCAGCGCGAGACCCTCT